AAAAAAGAAATTATTATTTTTATTAATAATAATTATTATTATTATTATTAATTAGTAGTAGGAGTAGTAGTATTGCAAAAAAAAATTCATGGTCCTAAAAATAGAGCTGATTTTATTCATGCAGATTTTTGTTGTGAAATGTTACCTGGACATGCTTTCATGCGATTCACCCTTTTGTGGGGTTGTTTCTTTTTAAAAAAAAGTAAGACAGCAACCGAGTGTTTTTGCAACACAATAACGCGTCCAAAGCATTTACCAGTGAAAGCGCTCTGAGAACAGGAAGCCTCTTGTTTGCCGGGACTCGGTGACCTCCCGGTGTTGATCTAATGGAAACGTCTTTCTCCCAATTCTTGTGATGAATTTGTTTTAGCACATTGTTTCTAGAGTCTGTTTCCTGTTGGGGTTGAAGCTGGACATCCACCGAGGTTTTGTTCGATAATGAAGTGAGCCCACACATGCCTTTATTATCCACACAGGACTCCATTGTGTGCGAGTTTTTGGCGTTTATGATGTGTATTTGTAAGTGTCGGTTGATTCATTTGAGACTGCAGCATTGTGCGGGTGCGTTGCAATGCAGTAATACCTAGATGGCGTGCAAAACGCAAACACATCTGTCTGGAAACCCCAAAGTGCAAGAAATGACCTAATGGCTCATACTAAAATAGTTTGACGCTCATGCACAAAGCATCTGACAATCTCTGTTTTGCAGGCGGAGATCTGAAACACTGAGCGGCTTGATTCTTATTAACGCTTTTAATTAGCTTAGAAAATCTGTCAGCGATGCCAGCAATGCATATGTGAAGCATATGGTTAACCGATTTAAAGCACTGAAAATGTCAAACCGTACGAGTTTGCAAAGGGTTTATGCTGCAAAAATAGCACTAGTTGGATGGTAGTATGCAATTGTGAACTTAAACCTAGACGTGTTTCTTCTTGGCTCCGGAGGGTTAATAATGGCCTCCTGAAGCGAATCCATGCATTTTTGTAAGAAAAAAAATCCATATTTAAAACTTAATTAAACAGTAATCTCTAGCTATTATTATTAATTATTATTATTATTTTTAATTATTAATTTATAACTATTATTAATTAATATTACCCATCCCTACCCGGAGCCGTGTGGAGCATTTTTTATGATGTATGGATGCGCTTTATTGGGCTTCTATTGGACTATTGAAAAATAACACCCATTCACTGCCATTATAAAGCTTGGAAGAGCCAGGACATTTTTTAATATAACTGAAAGAATCTGAAAGAAAGTCATATGCACCTAGGATGTCTTGATGGTGAGTAAATCATGGGGTAATTTTCATTTTTGGGTGAACTATCCCTTTAATATCTGCTTCAGTTGCTTCTGGGATGACAGAACGTTAAAATGGTTTGTTTATTATGTCTTGTGCAGATCAGAGAGAGGATGGAGGAGCTGAGGAGCATGCTGGGATGGATCCTGGTCCACTGGAGGGCTCAGAAGGATCAGCTGTTGAGCAGACAGAAGGCTGAAGAAGCTCAGACAGACGCTATTTACTCAGAGGCCACGGTCTGCAGCCTGCAAACACAGGTAGAACCCATTCATTTGTGATTTTCCCCTCTTTGGATAAATTAAGTTTATCAATCAATCAGTCATTCATGGTGCAGATATTAAAAACTGTGATTGAATTAAAAAATTCACTTCATCACTCCTGTTGTACATACATGACAATTGTAAAGAAACATGTCAAGGTTACGCTTCAAATTGAAGTAAATATATATATATATATATATATATAATATATACAGTATATATACTGTATATAGTTAATGTAAAAAAATACAAAAATAACTTGCAATGCAATGATTAAAAAAATTCTCAAATGCTACAAACAATCTTTTCTTTTTATTAATATAGTTTACATTTTTCCATTATAGAAATGGGAATTCGAAGATGGGAAATGGGCTCATTTGTCTTAAATAATATCTGTATCAATCAATCAATATCTTACAGTAAAAATATACTGTAAAGCAGTGACTTTTCAATTTACATCAGCATATACAAAATACTAAGAAATACTTCACCATTTTATGAATAAATATTTTTTTGCATCAGCATATATTAAATGCTGCAGATGCTACTAAATGTATAAATACTTCACTATTTAATAATATAGAATTTTTGCATTAAAATGTAACAGTGCAAACAATCTTAATGGTCCTGAAATCCTTGACCGTTTTCATGAGATCAACCCAAAATAACAAAATAATATAAAAAAATAAATAAAGAAATAAATTTCAATTTTTTTTATGAATTATGGATTTTTATAATTCCGCTTATTCTCAGTGATGATTTGTATTAGATATTCATTTTTATATTGCATAATTTTTTTTCTTTTAAAGTAAAAAATACTGTAATGCAGTGATTTTTTAAATTTAAATCAGCATGTATTAAATGAATGCTACTAAATGTAGAACAATCACAGTGCGAACAAGCTTTACTATTTTATTCATATAGAATAAAATATAGAGGATAATATAGTTTTTTTTTTTTTTTGCTTTTTTAATAATGGGAAATTGAAGGCAGGAAATGTGCTTAATTGTCAAATAATGTCACAATGCAAGCAATCTTAAAAGTCCTAAAATACAATATGTTTTTGTCATTATGCAAAATAAAAATTTTTGTTTGTGAAATGTGACCTGGAAATCCTTGACAGTTTTCGTAAGATCGACCCAGAGATGCAGTCTCCTCATAAAGCATGCTAAATCTGGCATTTTTCAGGTGGAAACCTCACCCGAGGCTTCTCAGAAGGGAACGGAAAGCCTCACAAGTGCTCCCCCTGGTGACATGGAGGACAGTTTGCAGCACAATTATGAATACGAGGTGATGAAGAGTGTCAGTCCTAAAGGAAGCGATGATAGCGGTCATTTAAAAAGGCCGAACTCGCCGTACCTGGTGCTGAAGGAACCCAGTCCTTCAGCTTTAGGAGGCACTGTCAATCTCATCCTCAGCTTCAGTAACTCTGGAGACACACAAATCCAGGTACAAGCGCCCGGCAGGGAAGGTGGCGTGCCGGTGCTCGAGCCTGTGCACAGGGTGAGAATTATTAAAAACCACAGTCACACAAAGTCAAACCCTATTGCACTTATACGCTACTCTGTGTTCGATATCCCTCTCAGCCTCCTTACTTTTTGCTTCTCTTTCCTCAAAAACACCCTTCTCTGTTGTGTTTTGTTCTACATTCCCCTTCAGCCTCACACTTCTGCCTGTAAAAGTTTCTGGAAGCGCTGCCAGGGGATTTTTGGTAGTTTAAAGCAAAAGAAAAAGATTTATCGACACAGTGCAGAAGAGGTAAATATAGTTGGTCAGTGGCCCTGCACGAGTAAACAGAAATATGCTAGTTGTGCGCAGTGCTGGGTAGTAACTGATTACATGTAAACTGGATTACGTAATCAGATTCCAAAAATTAAGTACTTGTAGTTTTTATTGATTACATAGTAATCACACACTAGCAATAAATGATTCATCAATTTTTTCATCGTTTAAATTTTCCTTTCTAAAATAGCCTGCCGTTAAAGGTCTCCAGTTTTGTGGACATTCACACAAAGACCAGTCATTAGTCCGCTGGCTATAATTACACAAAAATCTTGTGTTTTCTCAGCATCCCAACATTGCATTAACTACTGATTGAGCAAATTCTTTTTTTTTTAAATTATCACAGAGTTATTTAACCATGCATTACTATGTATTTGGAAGGCTTTTGTCTTTCAAACACAATTATTTTAAAAGGATTTATTGTAATTTTAAATTTTTATGATTATTAGCAGTTTCTTCACGAACCCCAGTTTGGGAAACCTGACGTAATGTAATGTTTACTGCACTTTGTTGTTAATAACAACAAATATAATATATTTTCTTTCTCTTTGTATTTTTATATCAATATGTTACAAGATTATCCTATTTAAATCAATGTGATAAATGAGTTAGGTCAAAAGTATGGAAGCCTGTTTCCGCCACTGAATTAAAAAAAAAAAGGTAATTGCGGGTTTTTATCTCACAATTCTGACTTTTTTTTCTTTGCAATTGCGAGTTTACATCTCGCAACTCTGACTTTTTTTCTCAGAATTGTGAGATATAAAATTGCAATTGCGAGTTATAGGAATCAGTAACGGACTACAATTTGTAAGTAATCTACCCAGCACTGCTTGTGTGTGTGTGCATGAGGACTGTAGTGTGATGGACTGACTAACATCATGATCTCAAAACATCTCATCGTATTTTTTTGATAACTGAAGCATTGCAGTAAATCTCAGAATCATAGTCTAATAATATGCTATTCTGAAAAATCGCCATTGGCCTGATCATTTATTTGTGCCGTGGTTGGAAAGAGAAAGAGACTTGATGGAAGAGGGGTCACTGCGGTTTAGAGGGGATTGCAAACAGGTATTGGCAGGTAATGAGAAGATGACGGAGGAAATAGCCACTTCCAATGATCTCATTTTGAGCTGCCAGTATGTGGGAAGTATTAGAAACCGGGATGAGAAACTCTTCCAAGACAAACATAAAGCCTCATTTCAAACATTCGGGTTGTTTACAAAACTGTCTTTGGGAACATTTTGAAAGTAATTGCAGCAAAAATGAAAAGCGTGTGTTTCTTGGAATGGTTACAGGGGTATAAAAATATAGTAGCATATAGTAGCCTTTGCTACGATGGTTTTGCAATATCCTTGGGTCTTTTATTATGCCATTAGGGTCTGTGAAGTGTAAACGTCTGTCAGTATTAGAAGTTATTTTGGAAATTTTGTCCATTGCTGTAGGTTTGCAGCTCTCATGTAATCCAGTAGATTTTTTTGAAAACATCAGGAAGATTAGGGCTTGTGGGAAAGTGTCTAGCTGCTGTCATATCGTCTAATTTCAAATGCATTATGATATCTGTCTGCAGGATTTTTTATTTTGTGCCCTTGCAGCTTTCAGCACATATAGAGTCGCCGCTTACAAACGAGACCCTAGAGATCAGAGTGTATAATCACACAAAGTCAGAAATGATCATCGAAACATGTATGCATTCTTCTGCACCCATACAATAGCTTTGCATGAGGAACAGAGCAAACTTCTAGTCTTTTTACTAGCATTGCCCCCCAAATAGTGCGTAAGAGGCTTAGTTAACCAAAATGTTTTTAGTCGGTTAGTCACAGAAAAACTGTCCGTGATGAACAGATAGTTAACGGCTGGTCCTTGAGGTAATTACAGTAAATCCAGGAAGGAAATTCAAATATTAATCTATCATTCATCAACCTCAAATGTGGCTTATCTTTTGAAAGTGAAACATGCAAGTAGCAGCACGTTAACTTAGATAAATGTGCACTTTTAGGCACATATCCAAGTGTTTGTGTGGAGTGTGGATGCTATTAGCACACTTACTGCATTTGTCCTGATAACAGCGAAAAACATCTTAAAAATTGCTGTCATTTTTACTCATGCAGATAAGAGTAATACATCATTTGAAACTGTAAAGGGTCTACTTTTATTTGTGTACACTCACAGTATCAACAAAATGTTGTGCTTTCGCAAAATAAAGAAAACTATCAAGATGCGTTTTTTTTTTTCCGTCTCCATGAACTGGAGCGCATCACAAAAATGAACCGAAACTCAGCGTATAGGCTACTGCCTCACAAACATGAGAAATATATCTATAGAACGCAGAGGTGTAAAGTATTGGAGTAAATGTAATTAGTTACTGTACTTGAGTATCTTTTCGGGTACTTTGTACACCTCTGATAGAACGATTGAAACATCTACTTTTGAATGAACCGATTCAAAACAAATACTTTCCGACTCAGAAAACACTAGTTTATTCATAAATAATTAAAATATCTCCATGCTATTTTTTCCGACACATTCATAGTCATTATTTTTGCCGGTGCTTTGCAGAATAGACTATATATTAAAGCCTATTATTTAACTAATTAAATTAATATAAACATGCGATTATTCGATTAATGGCTTAAATGAATTACTGAAAGTCAAATCTTTAGTTAAGGGCAACTCTACTTTTTACTCTTTAAACTCTTGCTCCGTCATGACAAATGAGTCAGAAACCAGCAGAGGCCAGGGGTCTTTATTAGATCTGAAGATTTGCTGCAAATCGGTTGTTTTAACCAGATATGCATGGACGGAGGAAGACAATGACAAAGGAAGCAGATGATAAGAGAGGTGATAAGATGCATGCAGTGGGGTTTTTCACTCTTACATAAGCTCTCTTTAGGCCTGATGTAAACTCATTCATGACAGCCGCGCGGTGCTGAGATGTGACCTCACCCTTCGCTTCCCATGATCGCTGAGATCTGAAATCGCTCTCAGCAGGAGCGGGGGGTGCTGGAGAATTTGTTGTGAACTTTCTAGAAGGCCCTCCTGACTGCTCTGTGTGATTTATGGTCTGGGGCTGCCAGAGCAACACAAGATTAGTCACAGGGTGAAAGGTCAAGCCATTACAGCTGTGTATGATGACATGTTTAAGAGCAGATGATTCGTATTAAGCCCAGAGTAAAAACAAAAAAAAATGAATGTGTACTTGTGTAGTCTTGCTAGTGTTCTTTTGTTAGTGATGTTCTCATGTAAATCTAATGTTTTTGCGTTATTAGTGGTGTTTGCTAAGGTTTGGTGTGGCTTTTTGATGTAAGCAACCACTCAGAACACTTTAGAAATCACATAGCAACACCCTAGCAACCATCTAGAACATCAATCATATAGCAACTCCTTAGCAACCACCCAGAACACCTTCGTGATCACATAGCAGCACACTAAAAAACACTCGGAACACCTTAGCAGCTGCATAGTAACGCCCTGCCAACTACTCAGAACATTTTAGTAACAGCATAGCAACTCCCAAGCAACCATCTGGAACACCTTTGCAATTACATAGCAACACACTAACCATTCAGAATAGCTTGACAACTGCACAGTAACGCCCTGACAACTGTCCAGAATACCTTAGCAATAGCATATCAATGCCCTAGCAATCAAATAGAACATCTTAGCAGTAGCATAGCAACACACTAAAAACCAATTAAAACACAACCATATAGTATGGCCTGGCAACTACCCAGAATCCCATAGCAACACCCTGGCAACCACCTGGAATAGCTTAGAGATCTCGTAGCCCTGGCAAGTATCCAGAACACCTTAGCAAAAGCATAGCAACACCTTAGCAAACACCTAGAGCAGCTTAGCAATAATATAGCAACATACTAAAACACTCTGAACACCTTACCAACTGCTTAGTGACATCCTGGCAACTAGCCAAAACACCTTGGCAACAACATAGCAATGCCCTAGCAACCACCTAGAACATCTTACCAACAGCATAGCAACACACGAAAACACTTAGAACACCTTAGCAACTGCATAGTAATGCCCTGGTAATGACCCAGAATACCCATAGCAACACAATAAAAACCACTTACAAAACGTTGGTAACCACATAGTATGTAGCGAAAACATAGCAACGCCGTGGCAAACATCCAAAACATCCTGGCAGTGTAGTGGCAAGTTTTGCATAATTTTTCTTCACAGAATGCAAGAAATGTTTATTTTTTCCCATAACAAATGTGAATTCCAGCTGCTTAACGTAAGCAGTGAAGGAAAAGATGTTTCAGAATTTTAAATGTTTTTATCATTGCAGAGCAATGTCATCATTCATCAGTAACAAATGTGAAGCAACATGTTTCTATGTTTTTGCTTAGGAATGCTTTGCTTGAGCCAGAGACTCACAGAAGTGCTATGTTCAGATACTAAAACACTTATTTTCATAAATCGTTATACAAATAATCATTTTTCAGTGTTTGAATTGTGGATTACACTGGCCATAAAAAGTATTTGGACACTTAAGCCACACTTAAATATGAATTTAAATATGAATTGCATAAGATAACAAAATACCAAACTAAGCCACATTTATTATCAAGATAACACAAGCAAACTTACAAGGTCCAAAATGAAGACTCTTTGCGGTTGTGAAATTGTTGATAGTTAATGTGATGAACTACACCTGTGTGTATTTGAGGAGAACTGACTTCATGCATGCATTAAAAATGACAGCAACAATTGTTTGCAGATGCCACTTCATTTGATATTTTGTTTTGCAATGCAATGACATTCATTCATTTTTATGTGCGACCTAACTGCCCAAATGCTTTTTAGGATCATTGTTCTTCAGATAATTAGCATGATGCATATTTGAAGGGTGAACTTTGTATTGAAGTGTGATACTTATGCATGCTAACCACTTTATGCATGGAAGAATAAAAGGTGATAACACTCTAAAACAATCTTATCCTTGTGTTTTAGGTAAGTACTTACTTGCATGTTACAGAAAACAACACGGCAGTGTATGAGAGTATGACGCTTCCCCAAGACAAAGCCTCGAGGCCCTCTTCCTCCTCTTCCAGGACCTCCCTGTATGCTTTCTCCTCCCCTTGCACCTCCCCATACTCCTCGTCCTCCATTGAAGACACCCTTCAGCAGACCAACAACCTCCTGCCAAAGAACAGCAACATCTCAATCTTTAGCAGCCTGAAGAGGAAGAGCAAGAAGGCGAAGAAGAAGAAAGATGACCGTAGACACACCATTCAGAAGATCATGGGAGAGGAGCTGTCGGAGGAGGCTGGGTTGCCACCTGTATGTGAACCGGTGACATACGATACACATACTTGGCCCCTGAAGGAAAGGAAGAAGCGGAAAAATGCAAGGAAACCAAACAGCGATGGGACTCAGGTCTTGGACTACATAAAGAACCCTTTAGTGAAAGACATAGATGCAGAATGTCCTGGAGAGGTTGGATTTCCAGTTCACCATACCTTAGAGGTTGCCACCCAAGGACATGTGAAGAACCACTGCAGATTTCTGTCCTTGGGTTCTGTGTTAAGCTTTGACCTGCCCAAGGATATGAGCCTCATCCCTAGCATTCAAGATGTCATCACAATTGGCCCTCTTGAGCAAAAAAAGACAGACTCTTATCACCAGGACTCTCAGGTTGATCGTCCAACAGCTCTGAGCACCTTTAAAACAGCCCGCTCACCTCCAACACAAAAAGAAGAGCTCAAACTAATTTCCCCTGGTGAAGTAACCCTCAAGATTGATTGTAAAGACTCCAAAAAGATCAGCATTGACACTGTATCATTTACTAAAGATGAATTTCCTCCTACACCTTCTCCTGTTGTTGAAGACATCTCATTTGAGGAGAATCGTCCCTCATTACTCAGTGATCTGACCAATATCCAACAGAAACACCTGTCTGGGATCAGTATAGTGCCTAAAGAAGAGGTGGTTAGTTGGGGAGCTAATGAAACTCAACTTGACAGCAAAGAGAACTACAATGTAAGCCCACCAGAAGATGCAAGCCAAGGGATAGCCAACCACAGCTCAACTATGGCAGAGATTCATGTATGTCCTAGTGTCCATACCATGGTTCACAATCTTAATGGACACGTGTACCATAGGCCAGCGAAATCCTCCAGCACTCAACAGTTAAGTCCCAGCCATATATCTCATGTGGTGTTGAACTTCAGAGCCAATGGAAGAGAGGACTCAGTGGACTCTGGTCACTCCAGCTCTGGAAGCTTCAAGTTATGTGCTGAGGGTCCGTACATAGACTCCTCAGATTGTCCAATGCCTCAGAGGACCTTTGGGAAGGTACCATCCCTGGATGCAGGAGTCTCCAACAAGAACTTAGAGTTCTCCAAGGACAAGAGCATTACCTTATCTATCGACGTTGATGATCCAGTTCATCCTGACCATCAACAGTTTGAGCAGGAAGAGGAGGAGCTGGAGGACATCTGGAACCACACCAACCGCTACCGAGAGAGTCTTAACTCTGACATCATGTATAATGGCTACCAGGCCACCTCTTCTCCAGACCGGCACAGGGAACCCTCACCCAAAGAACAAGCAGTGCTCTTCAGGAAGTTGGTCACGGCCTCCGCACCCAACCTTCTTGTGGCGGAGTTCAGACTGCCACCATCCATCCAGACTATGGTGGGTTCTGGGAAGCAGCAGAACCCAAGGGAAGAGAGGAAAATTCTGGATAAAGGGGACAGGAGGTCTTGGGCTGCGTTCACACAACAGGAACAGGTTTACAAACAGGTGGCTGTTAATGAAACTGCTTCAGATATGGTGAAACTACCTGAAATAGAGGACCAGCAAAAGTATATCTACCATTATAAAGAGGAGGAGGAGGAGGAGGAGAAGGAAACAGGGTTTCTGAAGGTGAGGTCTACAAGTTGGCTGTCAAACCCAGTTAGTTGTCGTTTAGGACTGTTTAAGTCAGGGGTGTCCAACCCTGCTCCTGGAGGGCCACTGTCCTCTTAGAGTTTAGCTCCAACCCCAATTAAACACACCTGAACTAGCTAATCAAGGTCTTACTAGGCATACTAGAAACTTCCAGGCAGGTGTTTTAAGGCAAGTTGAAGCTAAACTCTGCAGGACAGTGGCACTCCAGGACCGAGTTTGGACACTCCTGGTTTAAGTCCTGCTCCTGGAGGGCCAATGTCCTGTAGATTTTAGCTTCAATCAAACACAGCTGAACCAAGGAACTCAAGGTCTCGACGATTACTAGAAACTTCCGGGGAGGTGTGTTGGGTCAAGTTGGAGCTAAACTGTGCAAGACGGTGGCTCTCCAGGACCAGGATTGGACCCCCCTGATTTAAGTAGTTGACTTGCGCTGCCTTCAACACATGTCAGAATGATATTTATGAGATGAGCGCTCATGAGCGCCACCACAGTATTGTATTTAGTTAGACTTTCTGAGTTAGAAAGCTTGTCAATGAAAGAATCATGGTGGATACCTTACATTTCCCATCTTTCTCTGTGAGAGCAAAAATGCTCTTCACTATTTTGCATTTGCATTAAACGGCTGAAGTAGGAACTTCCTAGGAGGATTGAGGGTTTTATTAGGAAATCTTTGCCTTCAAATTAAGTTGTGGTCAGCATATCTCATATCATTTTGCCCATTGTTGTAGTTCTGATTAGTGCACATGTAATCTGTTTTTGTCATGGTAATTAACGCATTGATATGTGTTCTCTCTCCACAGGACCAGTCCATGAGCCTCCTGTCTGTTCATATGGGATTGGATGGGACCAATGACAATGATATCCAGGTACACAAAGTATAATTGCAGACCATACCAGAACAGAGAGTATGTGCTTTAACGTTCTTCAGAATATTGATAAATAAAAGACATTATTGTATCTCATCATATCAAGGTTGTTAATTCTAATCTTTGACCTTTCTGTTTCAGAGTGGAAGACAAGAACTGGAACTGCCATCTATGGAAGGTACACTGGAGAGGAAACACAAACTACAACTGGGTGGAAAGAAGGTAAATATCACAATTACAGATATTTGCTTGACCCCAACCAAAACAAATGAGCATTTTGTGTCACATGCCTCATGCTTTTACCTGCAGGCTACTGTGGTAGATGTCAGATTAGGTTGTTTTAGTGCATTTTCGGTTGGTCTTTATGTAACCACTAAGATAAATGTACTATTTCAGGCACCATGCAGGGTGTGGAACTCCTATCATGCTGTTCTGTACAAACAAACAATATGTTTCTATAAGGACAGTAAAGATACACTCAAGGTAAGCTTGAAGACTTCATGTTCTGGCTTTGCAACCAAGCAGAAAACTTTGTGTTCCTTTATTGCAAGCAGACATCATTAGTTACATTGCAAGGTTGAACTGTGATTAAATTGTGATTGAATTACGTTTAATGGCAGCTGTAAAGCATCTAAGGGTATGATTTCGCTAAAACGACTCTATATTTGTACCCATAGAGCTGTGTGACCAGCCTTCCTCTGAACCTAATTGGAGCGGTGTGTGAACCGTCACCAGAGTACACCAAAAAACCCAACTGCTTCTGCTTGAGGTAAATGACGAACAACTAAAGGGCGTCTCATGTTTGTTTTAGTTAGAGATGAAAGTAGTTGTTTGAATCGGTTTCACCTGCACAGGTTCAGTTGAAGGACTTTGTTTAACCATTTTCTCTCAGATTACGTGATGGATCTGAGTATCTCCTCAGTGCATCGTCCCGATTTATGATGAAGAAATGGATCCTCAGAATCCAAGCACACACTGGTAGTATACTATTAACTATCTGTCTCCGTCGTTAACAAGTTTTCATGCTGCATTATATGACCACAGACATATTCACATGAAATCCTATCTCTACAGCATCTAGCGATTCTGTAGTGAACAGATCAACATGTCATGGGTCTTCTGCTTCAGCGACGCTCCCTAGACATTCTCCTGCTATCACCGGCTGTCAGTGTGGAGATAAATGCCACTGCTCCATGAGAAATTATGTCACCACCACCGTTTTAGCACAGAGTCAGCCCGCCTCAGGCCGAACCAAAGAGATCATAGTCCACACCAATGACGGACTGCAGATCCACCAAAGGCACCAGGATCTGTTGCTCCCCTCGTTCTCAGATGCAGGTCATTGTGGTAAGAAACTGTGTGACTAATACAGTTCAGTGAACTAAGAAAAAATAAGGGTAGTTATTCCTGTAACTAGCTACTTTTTACTAACAAGAAATGGTGGTTACAATGTTTTTTTTTTTATTTACTTTATTTTATTTGTTTATTTTTTTTAATCTTTGGTTCGGTTCATATAAACAAACTGATTGGGGAAAAAATATATTAAAGGCTTCTGAAATTTTGATTATTTCAATTTTATGAATATAATTTCACGAATATTATATTACTATTTGATCCAATAAATGTAATAATAATAATAATAATATTTTTTTTAATCAGAATTTTGCCTTGTTGTTCAGTAAAGAAATCTATAAATATATAATTTATCTTAAGTATGCTGTTATAATGGATTTGAAAGCATACTTGAGATAAATTTAGCTTTCAGTAGCTTCCAAAACACTGGCAACTAATGCAAGTAATAAATAAACAATATGCAAGACAAATGTTTTAACATCCAAAAGAGGGCAGTAGAGGACTCTGGTACTGAGCAGAGCTTCACGCAGACATTATGAGGCAGGGTCACATCTGTTTGCTGTCAGCGGCTTTCTGTTTCGGGAGAAGCACTTCTATTCAGCTCTCTGGATTTTGTCATTTCCACCTTGGTCACATAATTTCTCACTTCGAGTACTTTGTTACTCACTTATACTGTCTGCCCTTGTACTGTAGAGTTTGAATGATTAATTTTCTTTTTTTTTTTCTTTCCTCTCTGTAGAGGATGAGTTTAACTCTCATGGCGAGTTTCGGAGACAGAATCTGTCCTCTATGTCCACCGTTCAGGGCTGGACCAGCGAAAAGAGACGCTCACACTCCTTTACCTCAGGTACAGTAACTCAATTGAGTCACATTTGCCACATACAGTTAGGGCCCTATGAAATACGTTTTATTTTTCCAAAATTCTGGACTGCGTTTTAATGATTAAATTAAATTTGAGTAATCAAAAAGCATGAAATCAAAAAACTTGTACAATTGAACAAGTTTAAGAAAAATATATTTTAAGGGCCATATGGAATGTTTTATTTTTTCCCCAAATTCCATTTAATTTTTTTCCCCCCAAATTCCATCCCCCCATTTTTTATTTTATTTTTTTCTAAATTCTGTTTTTTTTTTTCTGGATTCCGTTTTAATTACATTTTAGTAATCAAAAAGCATGTAATTAATTGAAATCATGAAACTTATACAATTCAGCAATTTATTGGAAGCTTAAAAAAAAAAAAAATTATGGCCCTATGAAATACTTTTTATAATTGTTTTATTTTTCTTAAATTCTGTTTTCAGTTTTAATGTTTCTGGATTCAATTTTAATGGTTTAAGCATGCTAATCAATAGAATTAATAAAACTTTAACAACTTATGGTTAACTTTATAGTTCCAAAACAGGTGTAATCAAATGGAGGCATAAAACATTAAAGGACCACTCCACTATTTTTGAAAATAGGCTAATTTTCCAACTCTCCTAGAGTTAAACAGTTGAGTTTTACCGTTTTCGAATCCAGGAATGAGCGTATAGTTCCTAGCCATATCGGCCTAGAAAATCACAACTTTTCATTTTCCGTCGGTCTTAGTACACGATGTAACTACAGAAGAGTCAAGTTTTAAATAGGAAAAATATAGAAACTCTTTGGTCATTTTTGAGCGAGATGCTAACGGTCTAATCAGATTCAATGATCTATGCTAAGCTAAAAGTGCTACCGCCAGACCCGGAGATCGGCTGAATGGATTCGAAAACGGTAAAACTCAACTGTTTAACTCTAGGGGAGTTGGAAAATGAGCCTATTTTCAAAAATAGTGGAGTGTTCTTTTAACAATATAATTAAAATGTAATCAGATGAAAATTAAACAAGTCCTTTTGTTTTTTGTCTGTTAAAATTAAAACATGGAAGAAAAATTGTGTAATTATTCCTTTAAAAAGTTTTAGTACTTTGTTATTATTATTATTATTATTATTGCTGTTACAGTTTGATTAAGCGTACAGTGCTACTTTTGATTTATGCATCTAAAATTTCAATTCCTTGACGTTCCGCATTATGCAGTAAATTCCATTTTTATGACTATGTTTCTGCAATTCTGTGTGCGTTTTCTGTATTGCGGGAATCATAGGGCCCTACAAATAAACGTTTAATCAATGTATATGAGCTTTGAATGCTGATATCTCTGTTTCTACAGCCACATATCAGAGGATCAAGCCTGTAGCGCCCCCTTCAGGCAAAGGCCAGGACAGCAGCTCCAGCTACTCGGTGACTTTATTCATCAGAGATGGTGAGATGCCGTCAGTCTGTAAAAGCACAGCGACGGCCCCGACAAACGGTGTCTGGCAGGAGTCCGTCTCCGATCTGCCCATTAAGAGCTACATGAGCCTCCCGCGACCGCCCAACAAATCCGTCTTCAGGAAGTTCTTTGGGAAAAAGGAGTGACGGACACTTTGTGACACTGCTGGTCAAAGACCCTGACTGACATGTGCAGGACACAAGTTACTATTTTTCTTACATTTATTTATGGATATGATGGCAAGAACCATTTTTGTATACTTTTAAATGAGATCTTGTATGATTGTGTTGCTGCGAGATAAGTGGAAAATTCACTCCTTCAACTTCTCACTTTATCAGCCGTTTTGATATCGGGCTCAAATGGATGATTTAGTCAAAAATGAAAATCATGTAATTTACCCTCATGTTGTTCCAAACACATATCACTCTTTCTTTCATGGAATGCATTTAGCAGCAATTTTATCCAAAGCAAATTACAAAGAGAACAAAAGCAATTTTATCACAGAGCCAACGATATTCGCAATATGCAATGCCATTAGACAACTATAGGAAGCATGCTAGCGGAGAAATGCAGAGAAGAAGAAAACTGAAATATTTAAAGAACAATGAAGTCTGTCAAGCTCCAAAAACACACCACAAATCTATCATAACAATTATGCATATGACTTGTCCGCTATATTTCAATTGCTTTGAAGTCATAAAACATCTTATTGTGAGAAACGGACCCAAATTTATGTCATTACTCTCTAACCAAACATTTTAATCAAACTTGATTGACGGCTGTGGGCCAAAAGTAAATGCATTATATCCAACTATATTATATTGGTATATTAAATTATGTATTATATTGTATTATATAATATATTAGTCTATTAAATCCAACTATATTATATTAAAGTGCATTAAATAAAAATAATTTAAATGTATTTTTTATGTAAAAATTTAAATCACTTTTTAAATTTTTCACAAAAATTCACTTGTATTGTTTTTACATTTCAATGCAAAAAAAGCAAAACAATGTTTTAAAAAATGCTAAAACAAAAATATTAATTAGAAATAAAGATATGCTTCAATAGTTTTTTTTTTTTTTTAATTATGGGGGGTTTTCTTTTTTCTATTTTTTCCCATCCTCTTGCATGGTGGGCCAAATCAAAGGTCATCACGGGCCAAATTTCTGCTCCATGTAAATCTTCCCTTGTTGCTTTTTTGTCATTTTGGAGCTCAACTGACGCAGTCCCCTTTCATTATATAAAAGGAGTGCCCAGTTCTTCTGAAAGAAGATGTTCCTGCAGAATTTAGCTCCATCACACCTGCCTAGATGTTTTTAATGACCCTAAACACTTTAATTAGCTCGTTCAGGTGTATTTAATTAAGCTTGCAGCAAAACTGTCCTCATGAGAAGGATTGGACAGAATATAATTCAAAAAGTGAAGAACACAAGAAAATAGGAACATCATGAGGGTGAGTAATGACCAGTTCACACTAAAAATTATTACTATATTATATTATTTCAAAACATTTTAGTTATAGCCATCATCATTGGTGTGAACTTTCATTTATGGATTAACTCTTCCTTCAGCCTCAACATTTTGCCATGCTGAGATTTCATCATTTGCCAGATTTGTTTCATGTGTATAAATGAGTGCAGTTTGCTGTGGATGTGATGACAGCCGTAAAATACTGCTGTAATGAATCTACTAATATGAGACTTTTGAAAGCTAGTGTGTTCAGTGTTCCCACCACATTCCTCTTGAGGTGGTGTGGCGTGTTTTCAGTTCATGTATGTTCTGTTTTTGGCGTGGATTGCAATTTCTGTTGATGATTATCTCTGAGTTTCAGAATGTCCACTCATTGTTTAGTTTCTCTGAGGTTTTGGCACATATTATTTGTCAGCTTGTCATGTTTTTCTGTGTCGGCTGGTTTGAGTTCTGTGTGGTCTCAACCAAAAATGAAAGCTCTGTCATTATTTATTTACTTGAGGGTGAGTAAATGTTGACAGTAATTTACATTTTTGGCCAACTGTCCCTTTAACGTGTGTTTCCAGACTATAAACATTTGATTCACTTATTCAAGCGTTGCTTTCTGTATTTAAACTAATGCAGTGTGTCAGGACATTTTTATAGGAAGTTTTTTTTTTTACTGTCTGGTCATGCATGATATTTTGAGATTGGTGACATGAATGTTTATGACCATTTTTACACAATTTAAACATGTAATGCATTATTTTAGATATTTTACAGTGGGAAGTATGTTCAAATTGAAAATGTCTTTATAAGCATTGTAAGAAAATAAGGTCATTAGAGCACAATGAGTATTGGCATTATTTCTTTAAAAGACGTGGTAAAGCAGAAACGCTGCACTGGTTATGGCATCATTTTATTGAGTGATATACATCCATAAACTACCATGCAATTATGAGTGTCCAAAAATAATAATTTGGATTAATAAATACTGCAGAGTAAGTATAGCTGAAATGTACACACAGCATCATATTGCATTTATACCCGGCCAACACTTAACATTCCCAGTTGTTTACTTTTGGTCTCTGTCTCTAGATATGATTATTTGTACTTTTTCAAATTACTTTTAAGGTTTTTTTTTTAATGCTTTGTGTGACCTATATTGCATTTGCAACAAGAGTTTGCAATCATTTGCATTTGTTTGCTGTATCAAAAGCAATAGCTACATACTGGGACCGTTTTTTCCCCATACTTGACTAGAATATTAAATATTTTATTGCATACACGGGGGCTATGCTAGAGCCCAGAATATCACAGGGACTTTGGTCAGTATGCAAACACCTAGTAACTGCATTTCAATTCAATTCATGTTTATTTGTATAGCACTTTTCACGAAACGCATTATTGCAAAGCAGCTTCACAGAAAATAAAACTTTCTACATTACAATTAGAAGTAGATTATCAGTGGTGACAAGGTGATGTCCATATGGCAGAAATGTACAGTTCTAGGACAGTAGAAATCATGCGCCCATATCTTTTAATAATATTACCAAGGGGCAGCATATATATTGAAAATAGCAGAGGGCCTAAGACAGATCCTTGTGGCACTCCACACTTTACTGGCGTTAAATGAGATGATTCCCCGTTTAAATAAACGGTGGTAATGGTCTGATAGGGTAGGATCTATCTTAAAGCCTGTCCCTGAACACCCATGTAGTCTTGTAATCGATCTATGAGTATGTCATGATCTAGTGTCGAATGCAGCACTAAGGTCAAGTAAAAGTAGTACTGAGATGCAGTCTGATGCAAGAAGCATGTCATTTGTAATAAAGCGCAGTTTCTGATGGGACCTGAAACCTGACTGAAATTCTTAATAGATATCATTTTGCATTTGACTTTTAACTGCAACGTTCCTGTTTGCTTATGTTTTTGGGAACCAAATAAGAATGTTCTGGGAACATTCTCTGTCGGTTCTTTTTTGTATCCAAAAACTAACCTTCCCAGAACGTTCTGGGAACCAAAAATTGTTTGCTGAGTATATCTAATTTCAGAAATTTATTTTTGAAATAAATGGAAAACTACAATATGAATTGAAATTGGTCGTTTTAACTTGCATTAGGTTGCGGGTTTTGTGGTTTGTGTAGTGATGTCCAATGGTCAGATCTGACTGACAATATTTTAAAGTAAATTTTGTGCGTTTTTATGCTATGCTTTGTAAAAAGAGCAAATAGGCAACGAAAAGCCTTCGGTGATAAATCAATGACCGCAGCTTCTCTCATAGTGAAGAAATTAGCTGTTTGTTTGATGCCTGATGTATTAACGATCCACCGGGCACAATTCAACACACCCTCGTCTTTCCCTCTCAGATGGGGATTTCAAAAGCGCTGATATGGAAACTACAGATAAACATTGTAAGAAAGCCTCCACAATAATCATTAAAACGGCGCGGAGGAGATCTGAGCCTTCCGGCTCGAGTCCAAATCCTCAGAGGTCGATGCTGCGCTCGTGCGTTTGCATATGAAAAGCTGTTATGACTGAAAGCTGGCTGCCCCTCCAATCCCTTTAAGCTTTCAGAGAGTCTCCGCATACATAATTGGTGAGCATTTCTCGTTGAAATGATGATAAGAGACGGTGCAGTCGCCACTCGAAATGAAACGAGCGGAGAAGCGAAAAAGAAAGAGGATCCGCGGTAAATCCGAGCGTCCCGGAGCCGCTGACAGCGGGGGGTAAAAGTGCTCGAACAATGGCTTTCAGCACTTGGTCAGTGTCGGATTAGAATGCATTAAGTGCTCGAAATGTGCTAAATGCAAAGGGACGGAGCTTTTTTTTTAATGGGCCGTAACAGTGTGGTGTGTAAAACGCTTTAGCATCATCCAGTATCGGCCCTGTATATGCAATATGATATTCAAAATTCTAGTCAAGTATGGAAAACAAAACCCAGTCAGATATGTAGCTATTGCTTCTGATACAGCAAACAAATGCAAATCTTTAGTAAGAACACATAAACCATTTAAAAAGTACCCAGATAGCACACGTCTGCAAAATGTCTGTTAAAGATCGCTTCATCTGGAAAGCATCTGCTGTGTACAAACATCTGATAGACATAGGTTTTACATACATTCTAAATCAAACATCTTAAAGACATCTTCTAAACGTCTATTTGTCATCTGATAGGAAACGTCCTATAGACTTATTGCAGATGAGCAAACTCTCTAAAAAAATATGTCTTGCAGATGTAAATGCAGACGCCAAATATACGTCTCGGTGATCAGGGTACACACTGTAAATGGCTAAATCGACCAGAATAACCGCAGAGACTAAGCAACTTAGCAATATGTATATATGTTTACATTTTTAGCATGTTATGCGATTGCTCATTGGCCTAAGTCTCTGCCATATTCTGGTTTGCTTAAATATTTGTGCGTTTTAAAATTTTAATGCTTTTTTTAATGCTTTGTGTGACTTTTATTGAAGCGCTTACATTTGTTGGAATGTGACTGGATTTTTTCCCTGTATTGACTAGTATATTAAATATGGTATACAAGAGACCAGAATATTGCAGAGACTATGTTAAAAATAGTCATGCTGCTTAGTATGTTTGCGGAAACTGATACATTTTTTCAGAATTTTTTGATGAATACAAAGTTCAAAAGACATTATAAATGCATTTACTGTCACTTTTGATCAATTTATTGTGTCCTGCTGAATAAAAATATTAATTACTTAAAATCTTGACCTCAAACTTGTGAATGGTCATGTGTGTATATATAGTCGCTCCTGTTTTTCATTAAGTGTGTGTGTATGGCTGTATGCCTGACATCAGCAAGACAGGACATTAATTTAATCCACTTCTCTGTCAATGACTCATTATTTCAATGAGTCAGTCATTTACATGAGTGAAGTTCAGCATCGCAGCTATTTTCCCATCCGTCCTCATCACGTCTCCGATGCTCATGATGAATCAATGAAGACTGAAAACTCTCAAGGACTTTCACAAAAGACATTCATCTGTGGTAATTAAAAGCCTCCCGCAGGAAAGCAAATCACAAATGAGATCACCTTTTATAAGGAGAATTTTGCTTTATCTGAGCTTCTATACTCATTCGTAGCTCTATTGATTTTCATTTCTCCATATGAGACAAAGTTGATGTTCAAATGACATATAGTGGGGTCCAAACGTCTGGGATCGTTAGTGAAAACGTCTCTTCCTGACGTCCTGCTGTCACTTTTACTCCATGATGTTGACAAATGAGCAGAGCGTGTTTAAAAAGACCATTGACTGGTGGTCACGAGTCAATTACGCCGATGACAGCCAACAATCGAGGTCATTCTCTGCCAGTCATCAGAAGGACTGAATTGGAGAGTGTCCGGTCAATGGCCGGCAGAGGGGCTTGTGTTACCTCACTGCCTGTGTCACAGAGGTCATGACCTGCTCCTGAACCCTGCGCCGCTGTAAACATTCGATCACGCCACAGGTCAAACTCACTCGACTCTTTGGGACAAAAAAGAAAAAAAAATCAATGTGCATTAACAAAGAAATACTTAGTTTTATCAAAGATTTATGAAAGATTATTTTAATATATCGATTTCTTTTTATTTTTATTGTTTTTGAAAGAAGTCTCTTCTGCTCACCAAGGCTGCATTTATTTGACAAAAAATACAGTAAAAAATGTAAAATTGTGAAATATTATTACAATTTAAAATAACTGTTTTGTTTTTGAATATTCCTGCGATCAAAGCTGAATTTTCAGCATCATTACTCCAGTCTTCAGTGTCACATGATCCTTCAGAAATCATTTTAATATGCTGATTTGCTGCTGGAGAAACATTTCTTCTCATTATATATGTATTTTTGTGGAAACAAAACACACTACCATTCAAAAGATACACATACAAAAGATTTCTATTTTGAATAGTGTTCTTTTAAACTTTCTACTGTGTTCATCAAAAAAAAAATTTTTTATAATTATCAGAAATTTAAAAATATACAATAGTATATCGGTGATTCATTCCTAGTGGATTTTGCAAAGCATCTCAGTGTTGAGTTACATCTAGTTATGCATGGGCAAAAATGTAAGGGAAGACTTGCCATTTTAATATGTTCTTTTCTCTGAGCTCGAGCTGAAGGGTTTGACCCGGTGTCATGGGAAACTCTCTGTCCAAATGTGTCCCTGAGGGCCGTTTCTGACCATCTCTCTTGTTATTGTCACCACTGGCCAGTTCCTCAGAGGTCATGACCTCTCAGTACCCACTGATTCATATGAGGAGGCTGGAATCCTATATGGTGTCCCAGGGCAATAAGGACGTGCTTGTCAGATGGAAAAGACTGAGAGCGCTGAATGCTGAAATAAAAAAAGCTCTTCACTGAAGCAAACGCTTCATAATATCACCAAGAAATAAAGAAGTAAAGTAAAAGTTGCTCTATGTGCAGCATTCGTCTCAATTTCACATTCATGCATTTGGCAGATACTTTTAACCTGTTAACCCACGGGCCGGAAGGGCGTGTTTAGGCGTGTCTGTGCTTTTAATTACCTTTGTTTAAAAACAATATTCAATCAACTATCAAAAACTATATATCATTTGACGGCTAAAACACTCAAGATCCATGTTCTGAGCTTGTTTTTTAAATCAATACACCAGAGAGGAAAGGGTTAACATAAATGCTGAAGGACATTCCACTGGGATGTGTGTGAGTGAAGGGTCCACTCTTCAAAATGCATCCCACTTTTTAATCCAAAACAACGAAAAAATAGGGGAAAAAACGAAAGATCCTCCTTTGTTTACATGAGCGATTCGAGTTATAGTTGTCGATAGCGTCCATTTTCAAAGAAATATCGATTCCAGCTTTGAAATGGCATTTGTTTCATATAGAAGATGTACATTTTTATCAGCTCATGCATTTCCTGGGATTTGAACCCATGACTTTGCTGTTGCAAGCATCAAAACACTTTCTTGGCTCTCAGTTTGTAAAAACACATAAATGGTGTTTACAGTAATGCACTTACAATAGAAGTCTATGAGAAATGTGAAGCTTGAATTTTGCATTTCAGTTGATTTTTGCATACAGTAAATGCTCATAATGGTGATCTGCAAGTCCCAAAAATAGACAATGATACACGGGGTAACTTTTTTTGGAGCAATGTTGCTTGGGCACAGTCTGCATAGATAAAACACAAATGTGTTAATCTGATATGAATATAATAATGTAAACCTGTAGTTTTGTCTGTATTTGAACTGTCAATTAAAAAAATAACTGAATTAATTATAATTTGATTAATTGCAAATTATTCAATATGCAAACAAAGGGTTAAATGTGTAAATCTGATATAAATATAAATCGGATAGGCAATTTTGTCTGTATTTTAACTGTCAATCAATTAAAAAATTAAATGAATTAATTATAATTTCAGTAACTAACTGCAAATAATTCAATATGCAAACAATATTTATTGGAAAAAAAAAATCAAGATGCCTCCAAATGAAGATAATTCAAAAGCAACACATTATTGTGGCAGAGGAATAAATAATTAAAATGACAAAAATGGATTTGTAGATGTCAAAATATTGTTTGTTTGTTTTTTGTATATCATTATTTTATTTGCATTATTAACATTGATTAAAAAACACAAATTTTGTTTACAGTAATGCACTTACAATGGACATTGCATTTTTTTAGGTTGATTTTGAGTATAAGAATCACAATTTTTTGTATGATTTTAATTTAGATTTGAAATTTGAGTTTGAACATTTACTTTCATAAAGAACTTTCCAGCAACTGGCCGCCAACTGAACTGATTTGC